TTTTTCCATTTAGTTGCTAACTCAATAGCCAGGAAAGCTAGAAAGCTGAAATTTTAAGAGTGGTGTTTCCTGCAAGCTTTGGCGACCAGTCTTAATTTGTTTAGCTAGAAGGATTTGCCGAAAAAAACCGACGCCGGTAACGACAAAAACTGCGGGGAACTGTGCAAAAAACGCATCTTCGCACGGACAGCACGTGCGTATTTTTTATCGCATAGGTAGAGCAAAAATTCCGGAGTAGCGCACTTGTTTGCTGCTTCATTCCGCTAGTCTCTTCGATAAAGCCGAATATCACTTCCATTTCAGTGGTCATGAAATCACGAACGCGATATTGCGATTTTAGCGCAATACGGTGGAATGGTGAAAGCATCGACGCATTTTGGCATGCTATCGTCTAATGTTATTTGTTCCAGACGGGCTAATAATCATGAATTTTTTAGGAATTGCTGATAAGGAAGCCTCTGCACCGAAAGCGATTGCGCTGTATGTTGAGCAGTATAAGTCGTGGTGTTCGGGATGCAGCTGCTGATCGTATGGATGTGAATCAGGTGAACTGCTTCAACAGCTTACAAAAAAACTGTCGGTAAAACTTCGTTTGCGCTGCACTCGCGTACATTTTAGGAAGCGTATATTTCGATTCGTTCATATGTAAAGCAGCGAAGCGTTTTGCCATAGTATATTAATTTCTTGCATCGTTCTTTGCAAAAACTAATCGAGTTTAGCTGTCGTAGAGTCTTTTTGTCCATTTTAAGCTTGAAACCGTTCATTTTACAGCAACAGATACTTTTGCTGTTGCGCATGTCATATTCAGTTTTGTGTAAATCTATCTCTTTTCTGTATCTTCAATTTGTAGGTGCTGTTATGGTTGGATGATATTGGTATTCCGCAGTATCGTGAAAACATGGCCGAAAATATGATTGACGGTCAAATGTTGAGTTTGTTGACTGCACAAGATTTGATTGAGGTACATTTGTTATCAAAAATGCTGATCTTCTCGTTTTTGATCTCCCTATTTTGCTAATGTGTAGCTGCATACAAGACGCGGC